AAAGATGCATAGAGACACTTCCCCCTCCTTGCCACCACCTCTCCTAAGACCAAATGTCAGTGTTTCCCAGGAAAACCTATTGGCAGCAGGTGCGGGACAGGAAAAAAGGAGCCAGGGCATCTGCAGGACAGGGAAAGGGATGAATCCTCACTATCTGCCCCGCAGCCCACAGCCCTGATCTTGCCTGGAACATTAATCATGCTGGTTGGCTGACAGTGGGCCGCTAGAGTGAGCTGCTGCAGCTATTAAGAAACGGAGTGGCTGCTTCCTGATGTTTTTGAGGCATTTGTTGCTGGCTGTCTGATTTCATTCCATTCCATTTCATTTCTATTCAGCCCAGTCACTGAAGCCCTCTGAGACAGTCACAGCAATTAAAAGCATAAAATACGGCACAGCAACGCTTTACATACACACACCCCTATCTAAAACCAAAGCCAAACCAGCAGCTCTCACTGAATGATTGATATTTGTGATTGCTTGACACCTGATTGCATTGGAAGGTTTGGGCACATTTGGCTCTGTCTTCTTATGCATCATTGATAGATTGAATCTATTGGCATTCTGTTCCAATGACTGACCTTGCCTGCTCCACATCATATTTCACATTTCCTAACAGTATAATTGAAATGAACTGCTGGGGTTCTCATGTTTTGAAAGGAACCCATAATAAATGTATTCTTGATGGCTGTTCCAGGCTCTTAAGCTACTTTGGGTTCTTCATGTAAAACAGCAGCACACAAGTTAAAGTAACAGCAAAACTTTTCCACATAGTCCTTAATCAAAATATATGTAGCTGCCAAAAAGGTAGAAATGGTCATAATTTGGTCAGTTTTCACAGAGGATGGGTGAAATTCTCTTGTTGTAAACCATCCCAAGACATCAGTGATGGGACGGTATATAAAAGTTTTAAATAAATAAATTCCTGGAGATTGTATTGTTTCAGTGGGCTGCGTTTGACCATAATCTAATAAGCATCCCATGCATTTCAGTGGGTCAGCTCTAGGGAGAATAAGAACCAACAGGCTCCAACAGTGCGATCCTATGCGTGGTTGCTGAGTAGAAGGACCCACAGTGTTTGTTGAGACTTCCTTCCAGGCAGGTGTATCTGAGGTCGCCATCCTAGGTGCCTACAGTTGCTGTATGCCCTGACCTGGGAGCCAGGCCTGTTGAATGCTGCAGGAGAAAGATCACAAATTCTCCTTTCTTAGTTTCTCAGCCTTGGCAAGGGAGATAGAAAAGAAGAATGTAGGATCAAAGGGTTGAGTAACTTGGATACGAACTAACACAGCTGCAGCCTGACATAGTGAGAAGTAGCAACAGGGATTTAGTGAGGCCAAGTGCCTCTGCTTATCTGAGCAAAGACCATCTGGCCATAAGGTGTGAAAGTGGGGAGAGAAATTCATGGACCAGTGACACTTGGCCAGGCAGGGGAGTTTGATGAGAAGATGTTACATGAAGGGCGACGTGCACAGAGGGACGGGAAGGGTGGGAAGCACAGAGCAAGGGCAGAGATTGTGTACACTTCCGCTAGAGCTTTTTTCAGTGCAAGCCCCCTGACGCCCTGCTTGTGCATTTGCACGCACTGCCTTGCCTCATGTTGCCTTATTCTTGATAAAATGCCACTGGCGTGGTTTTTCCCATCCAGGGAATGTGAACCTGTTTCTTGCAGGATCTGACACCACAATGAGCTGCACTTCTGGCTGAACAGAGCCCGTGCGGTGTGCTGGTGAGAGTGTTGGACTGGGGACTGGGAGACGGGGCTTCTAGTCCTCACCCGGCCATAAAACACACTGGGTGACTTAGGGCCGATCGCATTCTCTCGGCCCAAGCGACCTCACAGGAAAAAAGGTGGGATATAAATGAAAGGAAATTATACTAACTTAACATGGGCAAGACTGCACCGTAACCCCCTCCAAGTGTTCCCAAGGTCAGAGGAACCAGGTGCCTGAGTGCCGGTGACAGCGGAGCAATAGTGGGAGGGGGCTATCAAGCACCCACCCCCATCCTCCTCACAGGCCTCTGCAGTCATCTGGCTGGCCCGCCGTAGGAAAATGGGATGCCCCGAAAACTTAAGAGCAATAATCCCATCAATAGAGGAGACGTGCATCCACATGTGTGTATTGGGCCGTGTGAAACAAAAGCTGGCCCAGCCAGAAGCCCTGTGGCACTCTAGATGTTTTCCCGGACAAATAGGTACCTCCTTTCTGGAGCTGCTGCTTGCAGGAGACTCCTTAGACTGATGAAGCAGCATCATTTCTCCTGCCTGGTTCGGACTGCACTCGCAAGCAGCAGGGCAAGCCAGCTCCTTGGGAAACTAGCTTTGCGGCATGCGCCCTGTAGAAGGCAACAGACCAGGCCAAGTCACCGCCTGCTTCTTCCTTTTAGTGTTTGCATGTGCCCATGACTAGAAAAGCAAGGCAGCAGACCCTGGTCGTCTGCAAGCCCCATGCTTCCAGCAGAGCTCAGCATCCTCCTAGCAACAGACTTAGGATTCCTGCAGCATGACCTCCTTTCCCATAGGTTTGTTCCCGATTGCCTCATGTGCCCACTGAGGTTATCCACCACTGCCTGCTGGCCATGACTCTGGCATGATGCCAAAAGGAGCAGCCTGGTGCCACGGCCATCAAGTGGCAGCTGCCTCCACACCAGGGGAAGCCTCTCTTGAAATTCAGGAAAGCACCAACCCTAGATGGGAAGCCCTGGCATAAAATGCAGGGAGGGAGGGAGGGAGGGAGCAATCTTTCTGCATATGGCCAGTCTTCTAAAATAATATGGCACCGTGAATTGGAATGTTTTAATGCAGGGTGTGTGTTCTTAACTGCTGGTGAGCCACACAGTGGAAAGGTGGGCAATGCATCTCCTAATCACTAGCTAATCTTGCCTGTTCCTCACTTCCTCAGGGTCAGCACTTATCCAGGGTTCACTTCTCTGGGGAAGACAGATCACCGGAAACTTCAGGTAATTTGTGGAGCTGTGTTGCACAGCACAGCATGGCTGGAGGGAGACAGCAGGGGCACGCCTGGCAAGCATCAGGTGGCCAGTGATAGGGGCACCTGCATGAGCTTCCAGGGTGAAAATCTCTCTCTCTCTCCCCCCCCCCTTCCCCCCCCCCCCCCCCCCCCCCAGCCTGTGTGTCTCCCTATCTGTGCCAACCTGCTCTTAGTGCCTTTTCAGGGGCACAAATCAAAATAGTTCAATTAAAACAACTGGGCATCTTTTTTTCCCTCTGTCTCTCTCTCACACACAGGGAACTTCATCAGCTCCTCCTCTGAAATGGGGTATCCACTCTTGAAGAATATGCCAGGGAAATTTTCAGCCATTCCCAAGCCATTAGGCAATAATCAACTTAAGGTACAGTCAAGTCTACTTTCCTAGTAATAAAGATACAATAGGCTCATGACTTTGTCCAGAATTTATTCTCTTGAATTTCTTCTCTTCTGAACCTCCAGATATTTTGGCCTCCAGCTCCTGTGATCTCTCACCACTAGGTCAGGGCTGCTGGAAGCTGTAGACCCAAAAGAGCTGGGGGTGGGGGGGCACAAGTTTCCCCTGCCTGCCCTAGAATAAAGAGCTTCCTAGGGAAAGTAGGTGGTATGTGCCAAGGCCCAGCCAGGTGCAAATGTCAGGTTGGCACACATTCCTGCTGATTTATCTTCCAAATTCAGAGGAAGGGCCAAATATTTAGTGGAGTGGACTTTTACAGTTTGTTGAGGGGCAGTGCTGATCTGGGAAGCAAATAAACACAAAGAGCACAGGGCTGATCGCTTGCACACAGTTCCACAGTTACTGACCCTTGCAGACCAGCTGGCGCATCCATCAGCCTATGGTCCTTTCTGCACAATGCGTATGTGTTCTCAGCAGAATAGAATGTGGAACCCAGCTCTCCCCGCTTAGAAGAGCACTTCCTTGGCTGGGCAGCGGATGATCCCATCATGCGAGCACTCAGAGCATACTATCTGGCCTCTGGAGAAATGCGGTACTCCTAGGAAGCACATCCACTGCTACTGAGACTTCTGCAGCAAGCATAAGCATCCCAGGACCTTACCATGCCCGTAGGATTGACCCGTGCCATTTTGTGATTTCTATAAATCTCCATGTCTGCCTCCTTCTGCTGCACCCATGGCTCTAATAGAAGCACACTTTGTCCCTAATTTAAAAGAAGTGCTGAGTGACTGTGAAGCAATCCTCCCTTTTCCTACCCACTTCCATGCACCCTCAAATCTCCTGAAATGCACAAGATGTTTAAAAAGCTGCAGAAAAACCTTGCTAGAACCAGTCAGTTATGCACCGCATGCCACAACCCTAAGTGGTCTGCATGTACAAAACTGTAGCCTTGCAATCAGAGGTTGCATAGCGTTGGACCCAGATGGCATTATTATTATTATTATTATTATTATTATTATTATTATTATTATTATTACATTTCTATGCCGCCCCATGCTTTTCTTCCACTGGCCCAATGGGGGAAGTTAGTTACGACTTTTACATATTGATGTTTGTATTTGATTTATTATGTGCATATCCCACCTATTTCCTGTAAGATACCCAAGGCAGCTTGCCCTGCTCCTCCCCATTTTATCCTCACAACAACCCTGTGAAGTAGGTGAGGCTGAGCTTCTTTAACTGACCCAAAGGCACTCAGAGAGCTTCATGTCTGAGCAGGTACTAGAACCAGGATCTTCCGAGTCTAGTCCAGTTCCCAAGCACAATGGCAAGTCCCATTCATGTCCATTTGGTCAGGCTCCAGTCAAAAGTGTTTATGTATGTAGTATGTCAAAATACTGTTGACTATTGGAGTAATACTACTGGAGACTATTTGGAGTTTTCCTGTCTGAGAATTCATGCAAGTATAATTCATCACATTTCCTTACCGGTATCTTTAATTGATATATTTTAATCATTAGTTAGAATATGTGCACAAAAAAGGCCAGCTGAGATGCATTTGATATTTAAAACTTTTATTTACAAAGCATTCTTAAAAAGAGAATGGCAATGGGTGTTCAGAAAAGGCTGGGCGTGAAGCATGGAAGGTCAGCAGGACAGCTGGCAGGAAGCTGGGTGGAGAGACCTGGAGGGATAGCCACTGAGTGCCATCATAGTGTGCAGAGAGTGCAGGAGGCCCTTTGAAGCACAAAGCAAAAGGCGTGTGGCCTCAGTCTGGTCCTGCAATGCAAAACTAGGGGTGACCCAAAGCAGAGGCACAAGTTAAGGGATTGTTTGCTCTTTCTGTGACTGAGAGAGCTGCAAAATGGGAAATAGTTGCCCATTTTGGAATAGGAACCAAAGGATCTCCTTTGTTTTGATTTTGTTTCATGGACTTCATCATATGGGCAATCTAACTGCCTACACAACCTCATCATGAAGTCTCTCTGGTGTGAAGGAATTCTTCTTGCCCTTCCTCTTATCTGGTACTGTGACATTGGCATGCACCTAGAATTGGGTGGCTATATAAAGACAGACATCACCTCTCCTTTTGTGATCCCTGATAGGGTAGGATTGCTTCTGGAAGGTAAAAATAACAGCAAATCATGCCAAAGCTACATGTGGGAGAAAAAAGGTAACCAGCAGCAGGGAGCAAACAGAGCATGGAGAAAGGTAAGCAAGGGTGTGACCAAGCCCAGCATGAAGCAGTCCAGTTCAGGAAAAGCATTACCAGGTGATTCTGGTGATCGTGTAACCTTGCCTTAAATAAAGTGCTGCTACCGTTATAAAATGGTGGGGTGATTTTACAAGGGAGAGTGCACTTTGAGTTCATTCTGTTAATTCCTAAGGAATTTGACAACAGACAAACTGTTGAGGGGTAAATTTAGTATTCTTATATTAATGCATAGCCTGTTCCTCTTTTGTGATCCAATTTGGAAGTTACAATTATATTCCTATGATATTAGGAAATTAATTTTCTCCTTAGACACTTCACAGAAGTCAGAACCATTTCTTCTCTTTTCCATTCCGGTTTCTTTGTGATCCTGATTATTTTGATATAAATTTCTCATAGACCCCTGGAGTGTAATAGCTGCGCTTTCGTATCTGTAAAATAAAATTAAAATTACCTGGTGCTACAAGAAAAAAGATGTTCTACATTATCTTAGGTGCTTTACCTTTCCAGTCCCCATTGATCTTAATTAGTGATGGCACCGCACTAGATAATTACTTGTTATTGGGGGCACGGGAGCTTTTGGAGTAGGTTTGGCACATTGACCACTGCAATCAAAATTGTCAAATATTCCATGTAGCCAAGATGTTGAATAGGCTTGAAAAGAAGGTCCTTTTTGCTGCATGAACACACTGGCCTTAAAAAAAAAAAAACTTCCCTTTCTTTACTCATTTATTTATTTATTTATGCCATGGAAACTGTCTCTGGAGTTCTACAGTAAAATCTAAAGAGAACTTTTTGATGAATTGTTCACATACAAACACTTGACATAATATTAAAAGCCACAGCCACTCATTACAACAACAATTGTTGCTTTTGTTATTAATATTCAACTAGTAATGAAACCTGTTGATGAGTGGCAGAGCAATCCTATAATCTTGGGGACTGCCCCCGAAAGGCTGGGATATGTTGGATTCCCCCTTCAGAGGGCGATAGACCCTCCTGTGAGTTTGGAATGGGGAATCCAGAACATTCCCCTGCCACACTGGAACCGTCCTGGAAAGATCAAGACAAGCATGTTCCAGCGGGTGGGAAGGCAAGATGAAAGGCAGGATCTGCAGCATCTATAACCTCTTCACTGCTGTACCTGTGCACAGCCAAGTAGGTCAACTAGGTAGGCTCAGAGGCCCAGGTAGCTGAAAGTTTTATTTCTAAAGAGGTACCTTTTCTCACCCTGCCAGACTTTGCCAGCTGGACAAAAGATTGACCAAAATCTGAGCAAGTATTGATTTTAATGTAAGCTGCCTGGAGAAACTTTTTGGACTAGTGAACAGAGTATAAATTTAAAAATAAAAAAATCTTCACATTCCAGATGTTCAGCCCTAGTTTGGACCTTGTCTCATTCCTGACTTCTTCAGGCTACAAAATGAGAACTGGGCATGGGGCTGGGGAGAGACTTTCCTCCGGAATGTTTCAGGTAAGCAGCTACATGTGCCAATTCCGGGTCCAAACTGAGACAGGTGGGGTTCATCAGTCATTCATCATGATGCATTCACACATCTATTTGGGAATCAATCTTGGGAGGGCAGCCGAATTGGACCATTGGCTGGCCATCAACAATTGAATTCTCACTGCAGTGGGGGAAGCTTCTGCTGCCTTTGGAACTCTGGGGGTAAAGAGAAGACGGGAATGCTGGGAGCCGAGCAAGGCTGGCCTTGGATGCACAGGTGGCAGCCCCTTCATTGCGCCACCAAGCCCCTCAAGTGGAAACTAACTTTATCGACCAGGAACTGGCATAGTGAAAAGTGTGGGGAGAACAGCTCCCCCCCGCTGCGCACCTTCCATGTTGATTGGCCATTACTCTTCACCTGCCCTCTGTAAAATGGCTCTGCCCATCTTTCTAGGGATTACAGGTACGTACAGTAATTATTTTCAGAGTAGGTAATATGCATGGCTTGTGTAGTTCTTAATCCGCCTTGATTTATTCTCAAGCACCCACGCACAGTATTAGAACTATGGTACTTACCACTTTTCTCATAATGCAGGCTGTGAGTAAAATGCTGTAGCCAAGCAATCCAGCAAATGCGCTCATTATGATCCAAAAATACAGGTGTATGTCTGGGCATGGTTCTGTGTCTGAAATACATTTCCCTAAAGTTATCATTTTAAGGATGACATAGCAAGCCTTAATTTTTTTCTCCAACTTCCTCAGGCATAAAAGCATCATATCCTTCATAATAACAGCAGGAAAAAACATTTTAAGGAGTTAAAGAAAGACAAGGAAGTTCCTAGTTTCTGAGGATATGCTTTGCTAGGACAACGACACCCTAAAATATTTTTAGGAAGGGGCCATGAAATAGCTAACTTATCCTGAAGAATATTTTACAGTGTTTAAGACAAAAGTTAAAAACAAACACACCATTAACCAAAATGAAAATATCTTTCACATTTGAATACAAACGAAAGGAAGTCAAAGATTCTTTCCATCTCCAGATAGCTATATTTGCTCACCCTTCCAATATATAATGAACATTCACCAATATTTTGGCTGACTTGGCTTGGCTTGTGAAAAGGTGTCCTTCCCCTGTTGGTTTAACATGTAAGATCTTCTGGCTGGGAGTGTTAAGCTAAAAGTTAGCATCAGGAATACTTGGAAGTTCTACAGTTTAGCTTTTAAGAGCAAGGGTGGAGACAGATATTATGGCAGAAGATTTCTGCAAGCCATGCTCCTCTTCAAGTCACAGGCACAGTAGTAATTTGAAACGTCTCCTGCCTGTGTTTTGCATGCCGTGTCTCACTTGCAGTCTCACTGAACTCCACCACAATTTGGTCATGGAAGCAGCCAGGAAATTCCAAATGCTCACTTTCCTAAGTTGTCTGTTCCTCCATCACTGCCTCTGCCTATGTTTGCCAAGAGTGAAGGCTCTCACCCTACCCCCCATTTTTAAAAAATGTGATTCTCAGGAGAAACATAGAAGTGATAGCAGGATCTGTGAAGATAAAGTGCAATCCTGTGCATATTGAGCCAAAAAATGGTATTTGGATTCTCAGCAGTTCTCCAGCCATGTATGCTGGCTGCAACATGCTGGAACTGGTTGGACTTCTTTCTGGAAACAGACTACATATTGCGTACTTTCTAGCCCAAAACATTTAAACCCTTTCTAAATACCACTTGAAAAAAAAATGGAGCTTTACCTTTGACAGCTGTTACTACTCCAGTAAATGAGACTGATCACACTTTTACATGTTCCTGAGATGGAAGAAACTCAATGGGAGCACATTTAGGAAATGTGAGTCCCCAAAATGTGTCCAATGATCTTACTCTACAGGGGGTAAATGAGCCACTACTGACTTTTCATGAGCTCAGAGCACTTATGTCTTGGGTTACATTTGACAACTGCCTTTTAACAGCTGTCAGATATAGCCAAAAGTGAAAATAAACTTACCTCCACCTCCACCTCCACCGGGTAATGCTCAAGGTGCTCGCCTGCTAAACTTGGCCAGTCGGCACCCCTTTCACATTACCCACCTGAGGCTCTTTCATTCCTACTAGCCCAATGGCAGAGGTCCACAGCTGCACAAGTCTTCTTTTCTTTTTAAAGCTTAATATCACAATGTTTTTGTTTGGTCTTGTTGTAAATATTTCTAAAAATTAGGGGGGATTTAAAGAAATATTTGCCAAGCTCCAAGGTGCCATTGGGGCACTTTGAAGAGACTGTCAAAGCAGGAATGATGGTAACCAACTTGACAGCTGTCTTTTTCCATCTCCAGAAAAAAATATCAAGTTTTTTTTTTTAAACTACGGGGGGCCCAAAATGGCTCATGATCATAGTGGGGAGACAACTCGGTCCTCCTGCAGTGTTCCCTGTGATAGGAGGACTGAAGGAGAGAGGGGCCAGTGCCCACAGTGGCCCTGAACATCTGACGGACACCCCGTGGGTTGTTGGCAGTACAACCCACCCACCTGGGCTTATGGCGGCATGTGTGTGTTGCTGTGAAGTGCAAATGAAGGGCCCCCTTTGATTTGTCCTCTGATAACTGAAATGGTCACATACTTTGTTACTCTTGCCCTTCCTCTGTGTGGACTTTATGCTCCTTTTAGTTTGCAAGTCCCAGTGGAGCTGGGGCTCGTGAAGCAGAGAGGAAAATGCTAGAGCACCGCAGTGGCCACGACCCGCTGCTGCAGCCTTTCTTAGGCTTCCCAGCAGTGCACAATCCATACAGCTGTGAGCGGAGTGCAGCTGTGGGTGCCACGACCTGCTGGTCCAGCTGGCCTGGGCTTTCCTAGCCTGGGGTGCTAGGAGGGGGTCCTGGCAGCCGGCAGGGCCTCCCCTGGCAGCTCTCAGCTCCTCCCACAGAAGTCAGTTTAGACGCCTCCTCATTGCAGTGCAGAGGGCAATCTGAGGGCAGGCGATTGCCAGGGTGATCCTCTCCATCCCCCTGCAAATGAGAGGCTTTCTTCTAACCCAGCGGCAGAGCGGATTGATATTATTGGAGGTGGGTGCTTTGCAGCTTGGGGTGGAAGTGTTAACACTCCTCATCTTGTATCCCCTCTTCTTCCCCCGCTCCCCGCCCCAGCATGGCCACTCCAAGTGGGTGCCTCTTTTGTTGTTGCATGTGTGTGAATCAGCAGTAAGAGAGGGTTGTGATTTGTGGCTTTGGCCTTACCACATTCTGGTTACCCGGTACCCTTCCCACTGGCCACCAGCATGAGGCCCATGGAAGTTCGTCCTCATGGGGATGCAGGGCTTAGGAAGAAAAAGGCATTGCTACCTGCGGCATCTGGGCAGCTTGATTGGATAATTAGCCAGACCCCAGGTGGCAGGTCAGGTGTAAGATGCTGGCCGGCCATGTGTTCTGGCCTGGCATCTTGTGGACCACATGCTGCAAAGAGTTACGGCTGTCAACCCAAATCCACTCCCTGTGGAGCGAATCCCACGGGCTGCAGGGCTTCTGGGTAAACTCACATAGGATGGCACTGCGCAAGGGGGTGATCTGCCTGGGGAGGACTGAAGACATAGGTTCGTGGTAGTAAAAGCACCTGAAGCCTTTCCTGGGGCTCCTTCACTCACCAACGACGTAAAGATGGGTCCCCTTCCCCTGGACAGGGTAGTAAGGTGGAGGGAAGATCCGTTCCATTGTGCAAATGTACAGACCGGCATCCGTGGTCTGCAGCTGCGGGAGTGTCACATTGACCCTCTCGTGACCAAGATCGACTCTGCACTGGCCAACCTTCCTGCTGACTGGTTCAAAGTTGGTGGTAAAGGACAAAGCACAGACCTTGATGGACTCGTTGCCCATCTGTTTAAGCAAAGCTATTCGAAGATCTGTTGCATCTCCGTCGTTCGTATAGTCACACACAATTTGCGCATCCTCTTGTTGCTTTGCCACGATGAATGCTGGCTGGGTCACTTCGATCCCTGCAGTGAACAAACAACCATACAGCCATGAGGTAAACGCACGTATGCAAGAGAAATGTGCCTTCGCTGCCAAAAAGGAACATGGAGCTTTGCGTTTTCTCAAGTAAAACTGGACATATTTCCAACATGTGTGCATTAATTCTTTCAGAAACTCCAAACTTCATGCATTTTAACTTATTTATTCACATTTATAATTACTTTTGTATCAGTTGTTTGGTGATGGTAACTTCAAAAACATGACAGCAGCAGAGAAATGCAGTCCCACAAATATCCGGAATTTGTCAAAATATCCTAATGATATCCCATAAACTGATTTGAATTTCGATTTGACTGTCTACAGAAATAGATGTACTGTATGTTTAGCAGAGGTGCTTGATGTGAAGAATCTGTGCTATACTCCTTAAACTCTATACCATTCCCCAAGTCTTTCCTCTGTTTTCTTCCTTGCACCTTACTGCTAGATTGTAGCAGGAAGATGCCTCGCAATGTGCATGGAGACAGCTCCAGATCAGAGACCTGCTCCCAACCTCCGTCAGCTGCTTGAACTTTGCAACTAAGAATCCAGTACCCGAATCTGCTTTTTTCCTTCTTCCTCACTGCCCTTTTTCCTTGTATGCTATGCCTTTTACATTATAAGCCTGCAGGGAAGGATTGTTCTGATTCTGATCTTTGTAAGTCACTCTAAGAGTGCTTTTTAGCAGAAGAGCAGTGTAAAACTTATTTAAATTGATGACATTAATAATAATCAACAGAACATAGCTGCTGAGGACGGAAATCGGTCCTATCATTCTCCGTAAAGTACCACACACAACAATGGCAGCAACCCAGTTGCCAACCGGTTTCTCGCGACTCTTCTGGATGATTCGGCGAATGGGGCGGCATAAAAATGTTTTAATAAATAAAAAATAAATAAATTCTTCTGCACAGAAGAAACTTGCCAACCCTTCTCCTTTCCTAACTGCTTACCTTTGGTAAAGCCAGCTGCTAGGCTGGGCAAGACAAGGCTGATAAAAAACGGGATCATCTCGCCGTCAGATGCTGGATCGCTGCAGGCGCTTGACGGTTTTCTCCGTCTAAGGCAAGCTGGAAGCAGACCAGATTGTTACTGAGAACCGTCCTGCCGCGGGGTCCAGGAAGTTGGGGTGAAGCAGAACCTTGCGCCCCGCAGAGGTTGTGTGAGAGAGAGTGAATGAGATGGACAGAGCGAGCGAGCGAGCGAGCGAGAGATCGGCAGGATACCTGAAAAGGTAATCAAGGCTTTGTTATGGTTTTTGCGAAAGGAAGTCGTGGGACGGCTCAAGGCATGCGACACACCTCGGGCAGCAATGAGCGACGCTCTCATTCATCAAAGAGAAAACTGAGTCAATTTGAAACGAATCTTAACCTGAATACTACAGAATGTCACAGAAGCTTGTCCAATACCAGTAGCGTCAGCATTGTTCATTTCCTCCGACTCTCGTGTGTTTTCCATTGTGGAAACAAGTGGTTTCTGTTTTATGGTTTAATAATCTAGTGACAATCACAACTTGCCCACCACACCCATCACTTACATCTAAGTCTGTTTGGCCGTATCATTGTTACAGTGCACTGCATTTGTGTGTTTTCTGTGCACAGGTGTAAAGTGAGTCCACACCAGTATTTAACCCCAGTGCTGACAGTGTGTCTCCTGGTGAGAGCTGCTTTCCCACCGGCATGAGAGGAGATCCAGGCTGGGGAGGAGAGGAGCCGCACAGACTATGCTGCAGCCCATTACTGCTTAGAGACTGTATTACATTAAGCAATATATACATATTCCAAATAAACAATATTCCGAATAACCAAATAAAATGAATTGTCATAATGGAAAAGGTGAGGCTTATCCTTGATCTTTGTGGTACATATTCCCCTGTATCAATATATCTGCTGTCCACATCATATAAGGTGTGTTAGAACCCTGCTAGTCAAGCATTAAGAGAAAATTGGTGTAAGGTGTTTTATTGGTGGTACATTACTCCGAAAGGAATTGAAAACATAAATAAGAATTATAATGGAAAATGCTGGAAATGTAACAGGTTGAATGGAACTTTCTATCATGCGTGGTGGACTTGTGAAATAATGAAAAAAAATGGAAACTGATATGCAGAAATGCAGAAAATTTTTAAAATTAAGTTTCCCATGAGTTCCAAGAATATGCTTTTGAATATAGTGCCAGAGACCTTTGCAAAGAATATGCTAGAATTATTTAAATATGTGACAACTGCTGCAAAAACTGCAATTGCTTCTAAATGGAAATCACTGGTGCCCGCAACAATTGAAGAATGGAGAAATGGATTAGCAGAATGCGCTGTGATGGCAAAGTTAACTAACTGAGTAAACAGAGGACTGTTAGAAGAATGTAATGATAAATGGAAATTCTATCACACTCAACATGATTAGTGGGATCTGAGGGGAGTTTAGAAAGGAAAAAAAAAGCAGTAGAGGATTTGAGGTGATTTTGTTGTTGTATAGATTAAAGATTTCATTTTTGTTAAACTCTCTGAGTGTCAAAAGACAGGAAGATCAATAGATTGGGCGTCTGAATGTATAGGCTGTATATCTAGAGTTCCCTTGGCAACTTTGTTCGCATTGTTCATTTTAGCCTGTTTTGTTCATTTTAGCCTGTTCTGTTTCACATTCTTATTTGTGCACTTGTTTATGTTAAGAAAATCAATTTTTTCAAAATTGTTTTGATGTGTTAGAACCAATCACAACCCCTGCTAGATCAGGAAGAGGCTGTGTTTTCAGTAGTTCCCAGCCATCTTTAGGACAGAGGGAAGTAAATGTGCTTGGAGGGCTTTTCATCTGAGAGAGAAGGAGATTTGTGCTCCCCTAGATGACACTCTCACTCAAGAACTACTATTTCCAGCTTTCCCTGTGCGTAGGCAGGAAGGTGGGACAGCCAGTGAAAGGGAAAAAGCATGGAAAGAAACAGGTTCCAAAGGGGTAAAGCCTGCAGCAGCAAAACCAAGAAAAAGTTTTGAGGCACCTAAAAAGTGAATCCTGGTTGGACAATGTATGGCTTTCCTGCAGCCTCCATGATCCCTCATCAATGGCTATGCTGGCTAAGGCTGGTGGGGATGGTAGGCCAGAACATCTGCAGGGACATGCGTTGCCTGCCCTGAAGGACTCAATTAATCATGGCACAGACTTTCATGGGACTAGAAGCCACTTCATCATAGGCATGAAGTGCACTCTTGAGTTGTCAGCTTTATCATAAGGTTGAGGGATTTCCACTCCATTCAGCAAAATCTGGGGCTGTTCATTCTAACAATTCCCTGACAGGTAACCCTGCTAGTTCCCAGGGGCAGTGGAGCCAGTGCTGCCAGTATGATTGACAGACGCAAAATATATATGAGAAAATGTAAAGTTCACCCAGGCAAACACTTGATACATTTGTTTTGCCACTGGGACAGACACACAAAGTTGCCAACTACAAGTGTGACTGCACACATCCATGTGTCTCTCTGCATAATACGCACTCTTGATCTATGGAAGTGTCCCAGGAAATGCCTCACAGCACTCAGTGGAACAACTGCAAAGAAAACGAAGTGGGGACTCCTATAGCACAGTAATGCTAAAGTTTACTTTTTCTCATGCTGGATCAACAAGGCCGATCATTTTCAAATTAAAAAGAATATCTAAATCTGCTAGGATTATCACTAAAACGTATACTCTGATATCAATAGTTTCAGGATGTGGAGCTCTACTTTTGATGCTTGTTTGAAGCAGCCGTGAGTCACAGCGTGCCTTTAAACTTTGCCACTCAACACCCACCTGAGCACTGCAGTGAGCCACTGGGGCTGTGTGGGGCTGTGATTGTAAGAGCCAGATGCCTTCCCATTTTGAAGAGCACTGACTGAACATGATTCTCATCTAAAACCAGACAGGACCAGACAGGAAGCAGCTGCCTAGAGAGGTGGTGGGCTCTCCCACCCTAGAGACATTCAAGAAGAAACTGGGCAGCCCTCTGAGTGGGATGGTGTGACGTGGTGTCCTGCAACAGCAGGGGGTTGGTCCCAATGGCCTTCTTGGCCCCTTCCAACTCTACTGTTCTATGATTCTCTGATTCTAGGCTGTCCTGTGGGATCTGACTTGGCGTCGGCGCTCATCCCAGGATGTTCAAGGAATAGGCTCGAGTTAGTCACTGAGACTAAGTTTAGCAGTGCCAAGAGAGTTCCTCAGGCTTTTAGTAGTGGCAGAGCAAAGTGTCAGCAGGTGGGAATCCATTCAGTGTACTGGGACAGAGGCAAAGAAATAGACCTGTGTTGTCCAGCGACCGGGCAGCCCCACTGTTCCAGTGGACAGGGTGAAAACCGATGCCTGGAAACGGCAGGGAACATCAGCAGAGGTTTCCCAATCGCAGGGGCAGCTAGGCTGGGGAACAGCTTGCCTCAAAGGTGGCAGTTCTCCTTCATGCCAGCTTTTAAGGAGAGGATGGACAGTCCTCTCAGTGAGGGATCCCATAGTTATATCCAGGACTGCAGAGCTTGCACAGAACAGGAAGCCAGGCTAGGTGGCCACCAAGGGCCCAGACAATTTTAAGATTGCCTACATCTGCATCCGTTTCAAAGAAAATATGTTTCCATTTGTCACTGCATCTTTTCTTTTTAGATAACTACCACAGTTATCTACTGCATTCAAAACCTGAAACACCTTTCAGAAAAAAAACAAACCCTCAGGCTGTTCACCAGCAGAAGACTCCTGGCCTCCCACTCTGCCCTTCCCAAAAGGCAGATAGCAGTGCCTTGCACTGAGGCAACCTTCTCAATGCCCTCCAAGCAATGTGGGAGTAAGTGTCCATCTGTGAGTGTTTCAGAACCTTCAGAAATGGAATAAAAATGAGTAACAAGGTGCTGCGGCATTTCCCAAGCCTTCCCAGTGGGGGAGATCAGGCACTTCTCTCCGGTTTGGAGGAAAGGCATGGGCATTTCTCTTGCTTTGGCAACTGTGCCAGGCAGGTGGCCCATCTTCTGCCTTTGGGCCTTCTGCAAGGTGGCCCTGTCTTCTGGGTGCAGCGTGCACCAACAGCAAGTGTCCTGTGTCCTTGTCCCTTCATGTGTGACGCCTGGGAGCCACTAGGCGCTTGATGAGGGGAAAGTGGCCCACCTCCTCTACGGACAAGGCCTTGCACGGCGGCCTGCCCACTGGCCTGTAGGCACACGCACATACACTTCTGTGTACACCGCTGAAGCTCCCCGTTCTCTGCAGCTGCTGCTTCAAATCGTCCACCTGGTGGCAGGAGGGGCTGGGTACTGACTGCAGCGACTGCAGAGATGCCTTGCCTTCATACCAGAGCAGATGGACTCACAAGGTTATCCAGCCACCTGCCCTCACATTGCCACAGACCATAGCAACATACAGAAGGCAACCTTTTTGGGGGAACTTTTTACTAAGTTTGTGGGGTTTGAGTCAATGCTGAATGGAATATATTTTTGGATACCTCTAGTTTGCTCCACAGATATGGAGATGCCTTCCTTTTGCTTGTGTGAGGCCATGTTTTACTTCCAAATTGATCGGACAAGACTTCCTATATTTCCTATTAGAGGGAATGATGGCTCTCTGGAAGGAAGTCTGTCTGAAGACTTAAGTCATTGTGATAATCAAATTTCAGTAATGTCTTTCCTTCTTGCTAATTTCCCCATGTTTGGGAATTGGCTGTAAAAGCCTCAAACGTGGTAGGAGGTCTGTGGTGTCATTTCTAAGGATCCATCTGTGATGGTTTTGTGATGGTTTCTGACATGGGTCTGGGCCTTTAGAAATGACTAAAAATGTATTGTTATCTCTGCAAACTAGGAAACTGACAATCACTGTATCACTGACAATGATGGCCAGCACATGAAGGGAAAGGGAGAGAAGGGAGATGTGTTACACGGCAGGTGAGTTTGCTTGACTTGCATCCCATTTTCAAGATGTTCCCAACAGCTAGAAAATGCAGTCTGGTGTTCCTTGCCAGGAACAGAGCTCCAAATATGAGCCAAACTGCTTCTGAATCAGACCATTTATCTAGCCCAGTGCTGATGGGCCAAGGCTCCTGTAGGACATGGGTCCTCAAACTACGGCCCTTGGGCTGGATATGACCCCCCATGGTCATTTACCTGGCCTGACTCAGAGCTTTTGGACTCGTTCAGAGAAAACAATTTCCAAGCGAGTCTGAAAGCTCTGAGTCAGTGCAGGCGTTCTCTGAAACTG